CACACACACACACACAGAGAACTCACAGGGCGTAATTTGGGTGTGAGAATGTCCAGGAGGGGACAGAGGGCATCCAGCACCAGAGTCTGAGGTGTGGCACGACTGCGGGCAGATGGCGTGATGCCCGACACCAGCGTCTGAATCAGATTCTGTGTCTGACTCGTCCGATTCTGAGCCTGTGTGTGGGTGTGCAGGGCCTGTCACCGCAATGGCCCCGACTCTGGGGTAGGGGTGGTAGGACCTGCATCACCCCGGCGAACCCCCTGATCTCTGGGGTGGAGATGGGAGTCATTCCCAGAGCCCCCTCAATCAGGAGTGTGTGGGACAGAGCCCAAGTCACCCCCACAACTCCTTACTCTGGGTAGCAGACCTGGCTCAGCTCAGGATCCCCCCACCCTGGTGTGGGGAGCAGGCAGGCTCAGCCCCACACTCGCCCACTGGACACCTCTTGCTGGCTGCTGGGGAAGGCCAGGTGGGGCACATGGACAGCGGCGAAGAGCAGGTGGAAGGCGGCAGGCAGCACGGGCGGGTAGCACAGCAGCTGGAAGCTCTGGCCATGCAGGGCGGCCTGGGCCAGCAGGTCATCGAAGGCCAGCCAGTCCAGGGCTGCACACACAGCGCCCAGAGTGGGGTCCCGGAGCCTCAGCCGGAGGAAGTTGTCATACAGGCCCTGTGATGGGTGGTTGGCGAACCCTCAGCCTCCCACCTGCTCTGCCCTTCTTCCAACCACTCCACCATGCCCAGGGTCCAAGACCAAAAACACTAGCCGGAGGGAGAAGTCACCCTGCTATGGCTTGACAAAGACCCCAGGACATGCGGTGACCCGCTTATCTGCTCAATCCTCTCAGGGAAGATAACAGGTCTCGGCCCTGCCCTCTGGTGCACAGCTGGCAAGAGGTGGCACCTCCGATGCTACAGCCTTGTGGGCTTGCACTGAGCTGCTCCCACCCCCATGTAGAGAACATGGGATTCCCAGGATCTGTCCCTAATCCAAAGCTGTTTACAGTCCGGGAGCAGCTTAGGGCTGTGTTTGGGGATGGCGGACAGTACGGCAGCTTTGACCACCTGCTTGGGTCAGACTTCTGTCAAGCACCAGCCAACCCCCTCCACCGCACCTAGTACTTAGATCCATTTGTGATCTTCATCCCAAATGGGTCCCAGTCCAGCCCCAGCCCTGACAAGTCCCAGGGCTGCACAGGCCCCCACCCACACCTAAACCCCTATAAATGGCCCTCCACGTCCACGCCAACACAAGAGCAGGCTCTGCAGGGAAGAAGCGCAGTGGCCCCATGGGGTACCTGCACCACCTTCTCGTGCTCCCCAGCGGAGGAGGCCACATGAAGCACCCGCTGAAAGCGCTGAGAGATGGAGGTCGGGGCTGCCTCGGATGGGCAGGGCCCCGAGTCTCCGTCTCTGGTTAGGAGCGCATGGACCGGAGGGGCCAGTTCCTGGCCCACGCAGCGCCTGGAAGAGTGTGACAGGGCACGATGTGAGAACCAAGGGCCTGTGTCCCAGACACCCTCCTAGTGCTCCTCCCAAGAGTGGCCCCAGCTCCCCACCTTTCCAGGACCCCTCCCACAGTTTTCACAGCAAGGGCTGCATGGGCCAGGGGCAGCTGTGGAGGTGCCCCTGTCCACCTGCCTGTACCTTTGGGCCCGGGGCAGCTGGAAGACTTCTTGCCACACAGCAAAAAGCCCCTTGCGTTTGTCCTTGAGGCCGATGCGTGTCGTCTGCACGGCCCGCACACTCAGCTCCCGTCGGCCCTGTCCATGCAGGAACTGGACAAGCAGGAACCATGAAGGGCAGTGGGGGGGGGGCTGCCCTGCTCCATGTTCACCCCCAATCTGGCCCCACTCTGTTGTATCCAGACCTGCCTAGCACCCTGCCCTCTGCCCACCTTGCCCCCGCAACACCCCACCTGCAAGGTGTTGATGCAGGCCCGGATGTCATTGTCTGTCTTCTCACACAGAGCAGCAAGTGCCCCGGGGTCAGCCTGCATGCCCTGTCGCCTGGTGATCTGGGAGATGAGGGCTAGAGTCAGGATTTGGTCCCCTCCACAGGGGAGGGAGGGACTGATCCTCAAGACAGCAAATTGTGCCTGAACCCACCTGCCCACCTGCTTAGTCACCACCCATCACCCATCTCAGCTTCACGGGAAGTTGAGAGAGGGGGCACCTGGACCTGGGACTGGTGTGGAGGGACCCTGGGCCTGTCCCACTGACCTCCTGGAGCCGCTGGACGAGCCTGGAGGGCAGGGTGGGTGGGAAGTGGAGCAAGAGGGCCTGCTGCTTCAGCTGCCGCAGGGACGGCACAAATCTGGGGTAGAGACAGAGGATGATGCTGTGGGATAGCCCTTCGGGGCAGCCAGGGTCCAGAGCAGAGCCCCAGGGTGAGGGAGAGAGACCCAGGCCCAGCAGCCACAAGAGCCTCAGGTGAACAAAGTGGGCTCACGCAGGGCCCACTCACTGGTTGTTGCAGATGCAGATGATGGGTCTCATCAGGAGCCCCCCTTCTGCCTGGCGTCTCCGCATCCCACCTGCAGGCCTAGGCTGGGCCCCTGGCTGCACATCCTGCGGCCCCTTGCGGTCCAGGATGCTCAACAAGACATTGATGGCAGCCTACAGAGAGTGCCAGGGGTGTATATCAGCAGTGGCCCAGGGTCCATGACATTCATTCACGCCTTCAACCACCCCCAAAGCCCCAACCCTACCCCACTCAGCCCCAGACACCCCTATACACCACCAGGTCTCAGAGGACCTCACCCCTGGAATTTTCTACCCACCCACTCATCCAAAGTCCTTCCACTCCAGAGAGCCCCCCAACACTTGGCCCCAAAGGATCCCCTATTCCCACACTCAGCCCAGAAGACACCACACCCCTACCCTGCCCTAGGAGCCACCCACCGTGGGGGCCCCATCAATCTCATCGATGATTAAGCAGTTGGGCCTCCCACCAGCACCCAACACCGACTCCATCTGTGTGGCTGCCTCGATGCGTGTGCGGAAGGCCTCAGGGCTTCGGTCATCACTGGAGGAGATGCAGTGGGTTAGGCCAGGGCTCAGGACTGCCTCCGGGGCTCGGAAAGCAGCTACTTGGAGACAGAGGCAGCCACATAATAGGCCCACCCCTAGGCCCAGCCTCCACCTGCCCCATCAGAACTCCTGAAAGGGGCCAGCCGTTCACACATCCCAGCAATGGTTCAGTCCCCTCCATGACAGTCCAGTTCCCCCAGGAATTTGTAGGGCCCTACAGTTCACTCACCTGGCGTTCATCTCCACCACACAGTAGCCGGCGTGCCACGCGATCACATGAGCGAGGGTAGTCTTGCCCAGCCCGGGAGGTCCGCACAACAATGCCACCTGCAGCCAGGGTAGGTGACTACAAGCTGGGGCTGGCCCTGCCTCCAGGAAGTCACCCTGCCCAGTGCTGAGAATCATGCCCTTCCCCCAGCCCCACTGCCCTGCCCTTCATGCTCTCCATATGAACACAAAGCCTTGCTTGCTGACTCACAAGGAGACAGGACACATGAGTCTCATGGAGAATGTCCTAAACTTTCAGCTCAGATTGTTCACACAATCGGCCAAAACCCCCAGCATCTGTTCTCCTAAGCCCAAATGTATCACACAGGCTGCAAAGGCCCCAGTCACCTTAAACACATCCTTCAACCCTGGAGTTGGCGCTTATGGTGGGACTCACCTTCTGCCTGGGCCGCCGGCTCGTGTCCAGCTCAGCCTCAAGCATCTCCTCCAACACCTGCTCATGGCTCTTCCACTTGCTGGAAGCCATGGCCTCCTTGCTGGCCCGCACTGCCTCAGTGCCAGGCCTGGGCTTCCGGGCAGGTGTCTCACGGCCAAACACCACCAGGTCCCACAGCTTCAGCCACTTGAGAAGGCAGCGGTTAGTGAACTGTGGGGAGAGGTGCAGTCTGAAGACTCTCCACTCTCAGCTCTCTGTCAAGGTGCTTTAACAGGTCCCTTGTCCCAGATGAGAAGGTTGCACCTGAGAAGATATGTAACCTATGCCCAATCTCCCTGGCAGGAGGCTGACAAAACAGGTTCACATCAGGTCCCCTACCTCCCCAAGATACTCCAGCATCAGGTAGGGAGGGCTCTCCAGACTTGCTTGTAGGTGGCCAGCAGCAAGTCAGACCCGTACTGGACCTCAGTTTCCCCACTCATAACTTCATGGAGTGGGCTAGTACTTTCTCCACTGTAATAGTCCAATAGACGTAATAGACCAATGTTGTTGTTGTTTTTGTTATGTGCCGTCGAGTCGCGACTCATAGCGACCCTATAGCCCTGGCCTTTTCCCTCTCATGGAAGAGGATAGTAACACTTTAGCAAGAACAAGCCTCACATCATCACTGAGCAGCTCCGTGTACTGTCGGGGCGCAAACTCATCCACCCATAGGCAGTGCTGGGCAGTGTCCTGGCCTTCAGCAGCTTCCGGCACTTCCTCTGGGGCCCTCGTAAGCTGGGTGGCCTCCTTTTCTTCCTCAGGCCTGAGGCTGAAGAGCACTGAGGATGAGCCACCATGACCCCCAGGCCAAGTCAAGCCTACCCTACACCCATGGGATACAGGTTCTGAGTAGTCAGAGCCTGGGGAGAGGGCGCAGGGTGGGGAGTGCACATAATACCTGTGTAAGACCTCCGAAAGTCGCTGGGCTTCCTCCAGTAGCCGCTGCCGCCTCTGTACATACAGGGGTGGGGGTCAGAGGACACAGACACGCTCACCTTTCCTCCCCACCTGGCCAGGCCTCAGCCAGCTCACCTCATCATCCACTTGCTCCTTCAGGGAAGTGAAGGGCATGCCCAGCAGGTCCAGCTGGCCCCGCCACCGGATGTCCAGAAGAGGGCTCTATGGTGAGGGGGCCATAGTCACTTCTGTACCACATCAAAGGGCTTCCAGAACCTTCCAGCAGTGCCCCCCCAGTACCCAGTGTCAGCTGGCTGAGGGAAGCAAGGTGGTCCCCTTTCTGGTCAAGAGCTCCAAGGAGGGAAGTGGCAGGGATGAGGTAGTAGGAAGGAACAGAGAGGGCCTGCTTGTCTCGGTGACACCCCTGGTCGTGGTGTGGAAGTGAGGTCCCCCAGGATCTGATCGCATAGGATCCATGTCACCACCATTTTCTCTGTCAGGTTCCCACCAGCAGCTTCACATCTTTCAAGAAGCTCTCCCTGACTGCCACATGCTGACAGAGCCACAGGTAAGGGGTCTGAGGCCCAAGGTCAGATGGCGGAGCCCAGACAAGTACCCCAACTCCAGGCTAACCAGATCCACATCCCGTCAGCCACGCAGATGACCAGGCAAGCTTACAGAAAAGTGCCATGCTAGTGGTGTCCCCTGAGGTACCCACCTGCACCCCAGTGCCTGTGGGGTCCGCTCGTAGCACCAGGAAGGCCCTGTCACCATTGGTGGATGTCACATTAATGTAATCCTCCAGGACTGGTGGCCGCCGCAGGACTGGGTTGTGCGCAGCTGGCAAGGCAGATGTAGGACTCATATAGGCTACGGTGTGCAAGAACCTGAGAGGGGTAGGAGTTCAGATTCAGGACTGGTCCCCTGTGGTCTTGGGTGACTGACCCTTCCCAGCCTCAAGGCCTCATCTGAGGAGCAGGCTCCTGGTGGAGTCCTGAGACACACACCCATCACTGTACAGCTCAGCAGGAAGGTCAGGGCTCGGTGGGGGAGTGATGCCCTTGGGTGGGGAGTCCAGTGGCGGATCCTCAGGCTCCTCCTCTGGCCCAAAGTTCAGCCTCTTGACAGCTTCCAGCCGCGGCCGTTTAATCCTGGGGGCTGTGGAAACACACTGAGGACCTTCCGCAGCCTTACATCCCATCCCGAACTCCACGACTATCCCTGTGGACCTACTAGGGGGCAGGAGTCTGTCCTTGGCATCGCCGCCCAGTTCTCTCTTCTTGACATTAGGCTTGCCCTTCTGCAGACTCCTGGTTGGAGAGAGGTTGGGAGCAATGTCCCCTCTGCTGATGGCCTCCTCAAAGGTTAGCCGGGGCCTGCCCGCTGGAGGTGGAGGAGTGCTGGCCGGCAGCCGGGCTTCTGCCTCTGTAGAAGGAAGGGCATTCAATAACCACCCAGGACAGTTGGCCTCCTAGGCCAGATGCCCAGCAAACAGTCGTTCCAGTCATTACGTTCTGATAAATCCCTTACCAACTCAGAGAAGTCCTCCCTGACTGCCGGGCGGGGGCATCACAGTGCTGAAGAGGATTCAGAAGTGGGGTGGGGGAACCTGAGAGACTAAACCCCAAGGAGAGGCAGAAGGGAGGAGACTCAAGCTACAGGGCGAGGGGACAGAGCCACTGAGGGCGGAGACCGCAGCCATGGGGTAAGGACTGAGGAAGGACACAGGGGTCTCGGAGATGAGGTAGACGAGAGGACAGGGGTGATGCCACGGGGGAGGGTACTAGGAGATGAGACTAGGACTACAGGCTCAGGGTGGGCCGAGGGTTCACGGCCCCCGGATGTGCAGCTTCCTGCCCTGTAAACCCAGGGGAGAAGCCGGGTCCCGCGCGCACCTTCGAGCTCAGCCAGCACCTCGAGCTCGGCCGCGAATTGATTGTGGAAATCATCCTCGATGCCATACAACTCCTGCTCGTAATCCTCCATGCTGCCCGCCGCCGCTCCAGCGGGCCCGCGCCCTGAAGCTCCCGCGCCGGGAGAACAGCCTGTGCCGCCAATCAGCTGCCGGTGGGCCAAGAGGCCCTTGTCATTGGTTGATCAGCGGGGACGGAGGCGGAGCTGCGCTCATGGTGGGCGGAGTTCAACCAGCTCTGAATAACCGAAGGGGCGGGGCCAAATTTGTTCGCCATTGGTTGGCACAGCTGCTCTTCAGTGAAGGGGCGGGCCTGCGCTCGCAAGTTGGGTGGAGATGAGTCCAGTTTCCGTAGCCGGGACGACAGCCCAGTAGCGTTATTCATTGGGTACGTTAACTGTCTATCTGTGGGGAAGGCGGGCTGAGGGCGCGGGTTCAGTCAATTCATTGGTTTCGGAGAGGCGGTTCGAGAAGCACTCGTCATTGGCTGAAACGTGCGGAGGTGGGGCGGAAGCGGGGCTGCGCTTGGAGCTGCTCCCGTCAGTCTCGTCGTCGGAACGCGGGTTTCTGGGCCTCGATCCCCACCTGGACAGCAACATTAAGAACTTGGACGGTGCAGTCCGGCTGCAGGTTGGTCTTGGGGCAGGCAGGATAAAGGGGAACTCGGAGTTGGGATCTTCCCAGACCCCCAGGCCTGCGTCGGCTTGGAAGTGCGGAGGTCGAGGCTTGAGGGGCCAGGGCACACAGGTGGACAGGGGCGTCCAGTTTGGCCGCCCTGCGACTTCACACCTGCACCCGGCTCCCAGACAACCTGAGCCAGAATTTGGGGCGCAGTACCCACGGGTTCCGTGAAACCCGGAGGTTCCGTGACCGAGAAGAGGCTAGAGGCGGGTTGGGATGTCAAAGAAGGACAATCCCGATCTTATTATTTGAGTCGTGGCCACTGACTCCCAGTAACCACCCTGAAGATGTTCCCCTGCAGTGGGCGGTGAAGTGCTGAAAGGAGGTCAGCTCTCCTGCCGGGAATGAGAGGAACTTCTGGGGTCAAGGGAAAGGTGTCTGATGGAGTTAGGGAAGAAATAGTGTCTGACACTGGGTCTGACACTGGGTCTGACACTGAGATGTCTTATCCAGAGGTGTGTCTGACCCAGTGAAGGGGTGTCTGATGCCAGAGGATGTCTGGGGAATCAAGGGGTGCCTGACTGCGGGAGGGAGTTGTCTAATTACAGGAGAGCTGTGTGATACCTGACTTGGGGATGGGACTGACTGGGGAGTTGTGTCTGATACAAGGCATCTGATGCTTGGTGTCTGACCTGGGGAGGGTTCCCCAATCCCTCCCACCCTCAGGTGCCGCCATGGAGCCAGGTAGTGTAGAGAACCTGTCAGTTGTGTACCGGAGCCACGACTTCCTGGTGGTCAACAAGCACTGGGATGTTCGGATTGACAGCAAGACTTGGCGTGAGACGGTGACACTGCAGAAGCAGCTGCGACATCACTTTCCCGAGCTGGCCGACCCCGACACCTACTATGGTTTCAGGTGCACCACTGGTTGGGCAGACAGCGTCCAGGTACTGTAGGTGCACAGAGAGTGGCCGTTCACCGCCTCCTGTCCTCTCCAGGTTCTGCCACCAGCTTGATTTCTCTACTAGCGGGGCGCTGTGTGTGGCCCTGAACAAGGCAGCTGCTGGCAGCGCTTACAAATGTTTCAAGGAGCGGCGTGTCACCAAGGCCTACCTGGCGCTGGTAAGACCCTCCTAGGGTCACCCCATCCTCTCCACTTTCCCCTTTGACCTCTGGACTGGCTATGTAAGCAGCATGTACTTCATTGGTCTGCCAGGTTCGGGGTCACATCCAGGAGAGCCGCATAACTATCAACTATGCCATTGGCAGGAGCAGCACAGAGGGACGAGCTCACACTATGTGCATCGAAGGCACGCCAGGTGCACTCTCAGCGCGTGGACTGCGGGTGGGGTGGGAGATGGGGAGTGGGGCCTGGTTAACCATCACCTCCTGCCCAGGCTGCGAGAACCCAAAGCCAAGCCTCACGGAGCTGGTAGTCCTCGAGCACGGGTTCTACGCAGGGGACCCTGTCTCCAAGGTGCTGCTGCAGCCACTCACAGGTGTGTGTGGGGTAGGGTGGAGAATGTATAGAGCCAGGGATTCTGCTGTGTGCTCCTTTCCCAGGAAGGGAAACTGAAGCACAGAGGGTTGTAACCTGCCAGGGACCACTCTGAATTCCTAGCAGACCTGTGCCCCACCCCAGTACAGCCTGCGTCCTCAGGTCTGTACCCCAGTGTCTCCATCAGGCCTTGCATCCCAGAAAATTGAACTGGGTCCTGGAGGGTTTTGCAAGCTCTGATGGGATAGTGGATTAAGTGTTGGGCTAATGAAAGTCTGCCTGTCAAGCACACCAGCCTCTCCCAAGGGAGAGATGAGCCAGCCTGCTTCTTTGAAGACATACAGCTTGGAAACCCCATGGTGCAACTCTGTTCTGTGGGACAGGGTCACAGAAACTTCTAATCAACTCCACAGTAGTGGGGCGTTTTGAGGGTTCTTGCTAGCTGGAAGTCTGTATCTGGAATCCTACTTCCACCTGTATCTATCTGCGCTTGCTGGCTGGGACCAGAAATGATCTGTCCTGTGTGCAAGCCTCCTGGGAGGTCACAGACAAGGGCCTGCTGCTTTGTCTCCTCATACAGGCCGGACACACCAGCTGCGGGTGCACTGTAGGGCCCTCGGCCACCCAGTGGTGGGTGACCTGACCTACGGACGGGGCAGGGCCCGCGAAGAGAGGCCTTTCCGCATGATGCTGCATGCATTCTACCTCCGGGTGCCCACAGACACCGAGCGCGTGGAGGCCTGCACGCCCGACCCCTTCGTGCCCACCCTTGATGCCTCCTGGAGCCCACACACCCTGGTTTGCCCCCTCAACCAGCTCATCCAGGCCCTGCGTGCAGCTCCTGACCCTGATCCCACTGGGGGAGCCCGGCCCTGCAGCCCTGCCCCACCCCACCCCACAGCCCCCAAAACCAAGGCACAGCAAGCCTCCTGTTTACAGTGGCTGCTGGAGTGGACACTGGAGCCGGACAGCTGAGCACCGGGGATCTGGGGCTTGGGCGCCAGGCGGTAGCAGTGGTCATCACCCCAGGAGAATGCCCTGCATGGCACCCCCAGGGTGAGGGCTGCGGGCTGCGGATTGGCCAGCAGAGGGAGCAGTGGACACATGGAGGACACCTAAGCTGCTCTCTGACAACAGAAACCTTCCTCCTTGGTTAAAATCTGCTAACCGAAACACCAGCAGTTCGAACACACTAGTTGTTCCCTGGAGGAACGCTGAGGAAGTTTGCTTCCAGAGTTATAGCCTCTGAAACCCAGTCCCACGCTATCCACTGAGGCTGCTGAGAGTCGACACGGAAGCCCCTCTCTAGCTCTAGGGCCCCCAGTTCACAGACAAGACAAAGGTTAACTGGATAGGGTGGAGTGGGCTTTGGTCCACAGCCCCTACAGCCCCGACCCAACCTCCCTGCTCACTCCTCCCCACTGAAGCTACTCATTTCTTGGCTGCTCTACCCAAGACCCCCTATTCATTGCTGCAGACCTGGAACCACCTCTCTGCCCACACCTTTTCTCTGTGCCTTTGCTTCTGCTGGACTCTGCCTGGGGAGGAGGCAGGGTTTGTGGCCCCCACACCTATGGGGGTGCTGCTCCCCTGTGGAGTCTTTGGGCTCCCAGCTTACCACTACCACCACCCACTCCCACACAGCCTGGCCCCCAGGATCCCTAGCTTGGGAGCTCTGAGAAGCTGGGGTCTTGCCTCCCGTCCCCAAAGCCTCATGGTATCCTCATACCCACCACAGCTGAGCTCCAGGGACTTTAATAAACTCAGTGACAAACCCCACAAGTGAGGGAGACTTGTGTGATGTTAGCGTCGAGGGTGGGGTCAGAAACACCGAGCCTTCCTGCCACCTTCTCTGAGACCCCCAGCTTTTGCTGATGACTGACCTTGGCCACGGTCCATGGGGGAGCAGACACTGAGTCACTCCTACTCACAGCACCCCCAAATTCCCAATCGTCGTAATCATTGGAGCATTTTGCTGAGTCTCCCAGGACCCCTCAGGGACACACTGGGCACCGTCAGGACACCAAATGGAGTGGAGAGGTCACTCAAGCTCAGCTCTCTCCTTGGACCGGCTCTATCTGTGACCAAACCAGGGTCCAGGCAAGGAAGACCACTTCAGGGTGGTCTGGTCTAGCACCACTCACCCTGTGCCTTGGTTTCCTCATCTGTGAAAGGGGTGCTGAGCAGACCAAAGAAGCCACACAGGACCCACAAGGCACCCTCTCCACATTGTCACCACTGTGTCACACCCCACCTTCACACACTTCCCCAGCCCTCATGCTGCCACAACCCCTCACCATGAACTTGACACTTCTCATAGGTGGGGATCACTGTGTGTCTCCTGCCTCACACCTCCTGTGGTATAGAGCCCCCAGGCCTAACCAGTTTACCTAAGGAACTGTCTGGAGAATGAAGGGATCCCTTGGCCAGTGGCCCATCCACATGAAAAGCCCTGCCCTACTGGCACTGTCCTTTCCAGGAAAGACTGTTCAGCTGTGGTCACATAGTTTGACACCAGTCCATGCAGCCCTGTCACAAAAGGCTATCTGTCACCTGACACTAAGGTGACAAGCTCAGTTCCTCAATTGCATTCATCAGAAGACCTGGGGGCAGGGGTTATGGTGATACAGGACAACTCAGATGGCCCCAGAGCCCTGCCCCACCCTACACCGCAACATCAAGCAAGGCTAACTTAGAAATTCCTGAGATGGCTAGTATTCGCAGCCGCCAGGACCACATATGGGACCAGTGTGGGTGGGACTTGCTCACCAGGCCCATTCTCCACAGGCTGGGAGATGGGGGTGTGAGGACGCCTAGACACAGGCCTGAGTTGAGGACCCCCAGGTGCAGGCCCATTATCTACCTACAGGGGGCAGTGAAACCCAGTACACAAGGCTGTTCTCTACATAAAGGGGGCAGTGGGGAACCCCAGGCACAGGCCCATTGTCTACACACGGGGGACAGTGAGGACCCCTAGGCACAGGCTTGTTCTCCACCCACAGGAGGCAAGGCACGGAGAGGTGGAGACACACACCCCCACCCCCGCCCCCACCAGGCACAGGCCTGTTCACCCATAGGGGGCAGTGAGACCCAATGCACAAGGCCTGTTCTCTATCCGTGGGGAGGTGAGGTGGGGGGGGGGGGCAAAACACCCAGGCGCAGGCCTGTTCTCCATTCACAGGGAGCAGTGAGACCCAATACACAAGGCCTGTTCTCCACATGCAGATGGCAGTGAGGACCTCCAGGCCTGTCCTCCACCTACAGGGGGCAGTGAGACTGGTGAACAGGCCCATTCTCCACCAGGTCAGGGAGCTCTGGGCAGGGCTGCTCATTGCACTTGTCAAGTGATTTCTCCCCAAGCTGATAGTTCATGGAGTCTCCTCCTTTCTAAACATGGGAGAAAGAGGCGGCAGTGGTCATCACCCCACCCATCCAACCCTGTGTCCCAGAAAGTAGAACCCCACTGGCCCCATTCCTTCTGGAGGAGAGTCTGGAGTCCATATCCCCTATTTGCTCTTATCTAGAGGAACTTGCCCCCCACCCCTCCCATCTGGAGCCTGTGCCCTTCATTACTTCTTGTCTGGAGGTTCCTGTCCCTACCCGTGGATCAGGACTGTTCTAACAAGAGAAGAGTCAGAAACACAGAAGTGTCCCTCCATGACCCCATCTCTGCCCTCCAGATAACCCCTCCCCCAAGTGTCAAGTAGCTTTTGAAACTCCAGAATATCAGTAACAGGGCTAGGGACCTCCAGGAAGACCCACCACCACCACCACCACCACCACTCAGCAGGGCCAGGAACTGGGTTCAGTGGTCCCCTGGGAGAGCAGAGGGCAAGCATGACCATCAGAAGGGAACAGTAAGATGAGATTACCTGGCAAGGGTCAAGGGCAGAGTGTACAGAGCAGCACAGGTGGGTAGACAAGGTGAAGGGTGGGAAGGCAGTTTGGCCAGCTTCAGAACACATACAAGTCCATCTGCGCAGGCTCCAACTGTGGTGGGCAGGGTCTCAGTTGGCCGTGGGAATTGAGCAAGACTTCTAGGAGTGGGCAGAGGCAGAAGTTCCTGGTCTAGTTCCTGGTCGCATGTGTGCCAGCAACAAAGACCAGCTGCAGCTCCAGCGCTGGAGGGAGGAAGCTGACCACATGTGTCCACACCTGGCACTGCATTTGACCCACGTGTGGCCAGCAAGCCTGATGGGCACACACCAGGCATCTGGTACAGAGCAGTGCTGGCCACAGACAGCATGTCGTGCGCGTGTTCACTGCAGCCCAGGGCCTCGGGGGCAACATGGCTGGGTGGCTGCCAGCCGTGAGCTCAGCCTCCGCCAGTTCTCCTGGGGCGGGGAGCAGGTGCCCGCTGTGCCTGGGGCCCCCAGGGGCGGCACTGAAGCGTCAAGTCTCCACCTCGCAGTGGATCCTCAGGAGTGGGTGGCGAGACACAGGGCAGTCGCGTGCTGCCCTTGGTTGAGGCATGGAGGAGCCTGGGAACCTCCGAATCCCCAACCTATGTGGGCCATGTGGTGGGGGGCTCGGCAGCACATACTGACAAAGGCCAGCAGGGTGGGCTGGGACCTCCTCTTTTCCTCCTCCCCATCCAAGCTTTGAGCTTCAGGTAAGACTGTTGACTGGGCCTCTCATAGCCCAGGGCAGGTGGCTGGGCCCCCTCTGGACCTCAGTTTTTTCCCAGCAGAGGTAGGGGATTACCCACCAAAGCTTGGAGGTACAGAGCTGGACTGGCCAGTCTCCCCGATGCCCATCGGTCTTCCTAGACCCTCAACCCCCACACTTCAGGCCTTTGGAATCAGTAACAGGCTCTGGGCTCCGGACCATTACTTAGATCCCACCCAAGGCTGTAGGTCCATAGGGGTGGAGAGGGGCAGGGTCTGCCCGGGAATTGCGAGAGGGGTGCAGGGAGAGAATCCGTGGGTGATCTGATTTCCCAGTCTCTGAGCCTGTGGCTGCTGCCTCCCCCTCCCTGTTTGTCCCTTAATTGGAGACACAGCAGCCACTATCTGGGTCCCTTGAGTCCCGACCTGTGATAAGAAGGGCCCCAAGTTGGCCCGCCCCCTCCCTGCTGTTCCCTTTTGTTCCAAAACGTCTATTGTTTGTGGGGTTTGCACTTCAAAGAGGAGGGAGGTGGCTGTAGCTGCAGCCCTGTGGCCCCCGTGAGGCACTCCCTGGCTCCAGCTGGGCCGAAAAGGTGGAGGGGGCTCTGTGTTTCCTCCTTGTGCTCCCCTCCAGCTCATCCAGCAGCCCCTGCTTGTGACCCAGGTCCTTCCCGCCCTGGAACAGCCTCATCCAGGACCATCTTCACCAGCCAAGTAGCCATGGGGCCCTGGACTGGTGAGAAGGCCCCTGTGGGGAGAGCCCTTGGGTGGGGTTCCCAGAAAATGAAGGATGGGGACCCTAGCTGCTGGGTTGACGTAGCCCCCCAGGGACACAGCACCAGCCACCGGGTAGATCGGGAGGCAGCCTTTGGGTGGTGGAGCTCACTCTCTCAAATCCCTGCTCCTGGGGCTGCTGGAGACACATCTTCATTAACTATTATGGGGCTGGTGAAATGTGGGGGCGTACACCCTACTTCTGGGCAGGGGACTCAAAGCAGAAATGTGAACAAAATCTCAGCCCGTGGGAGTTCATTTCGACTCTCAGCGACCCCTGAACAGACTAGAACTGTCCCCATGGTTTCTGAGGCTGTGTGTCTTTACAGATGACTGCTTTATCTTCTGCCCAAAGAGCTGCCTGCTGACTTTTCAATTGATAGCCAAATGCTTTAACGACCTCACCGCCAGGGTTCCTTGGAACATGGACCAGACCTCCCCACCCCTGTCTCCTTCCTTGAGGCCCAGAGCTGAGGGAGCCCCTACTGATGCGGGGAGGTGTTGGCATTTGAGCACACACCACCAAGAGCGCCTCAGTACCAGCCCGGCCTTCCCTGGCTCCACGGCACTGAGATGGGCTGCCTGGTGCCCCCAGCGCTCACAACCAGTTCTTTCCCAGGCACTTTGGCCAGCCTCCTGGTGGTGCTGACCACCCACTGCTCACATCTGCAGGCCGTGGACTTCTTCCAGGGTGGTCTGGATGAAGACAGGGTCAGCCAGTGGGTCAGGTGAGTGCCAAGCTGAGTGTGAGCCCTGAGAGTGGGTGCCAAGGGCCCAGTGGATGCTTACTCCATGCTCTGCCAAGGGGCTTACTCTGCCTGCAGTCGGATGCCCCAAATATGAATAACCAGACTGCTCCTCTTCACTGACCTTCAGTTGTCACCTGGCTATGACTGTGGCCTTGTTGTTCCACATTCCAGATCCTAAGGCTCTGCCCAAAGACTCTATGTCCCCTTCCTTTTGTCTTTCTATCCATCCCCAGACTGCCTGGCTGTCCCCACCTTCCCTGGGTTGACCAGGTCAAGTGTCTCAAGTCAGACTAGGCAGGCACAGGCTGAACTGAGAGGAGCCTCCATGTAGGGAATTCTTGTAGATGCATGAAGGCTCGGCCCGGTCCATCCTCTAAAGCCTATTACTCAGCCTTCACGTGGAGCCACGGAGGGCTAAGCTGCCTCAAAGGGCAGTGAATAAATGCTTGAGTGAATAAATGAGTGAGTAAAGCAGGGGTCACGTTGGAGTCCTGACAGCACCTTGGACCCCAGTCGCAGGGGCTATTCAGGTGGAAAGGAAAGAAAGAAGAAATGAGTGGATCAGTGAGTGAATAAATAGATGAGTCGAGTAACTGATGCCCGAGTGAGCAAAGCAACAGCCCCTTTTGATCTCCACTGGCAGCTTGAAGCCCAGCTCCAGGAGGAGCTGAAGGAGGGAATGAGTGAATGAATGAATGAATGAATGAATGAATGAGAGAGAAGCAGGAACCAGCCTTGCATCCTGAGTGCTTCTGACCAGTAGTCCCGGCCCCTCAGTGCTGGGAGATGCCCAAGGCACCGTTGTCCCACAAACCACAGCCCCTCATCACATCTGCCTTCTCTCTGCCCAGTGCCAATGCCTCTGTCCTGCATGGCTTCTGGTGCCAACCGGCCAGCCACTTGAGCAGGGACCAGCTGTCAGCGCTGGTCCAGAGGATGGAGACCCAGCAGGTGAACCTGGAAGCCTGGCAGGTGAGCACCCCAGATATCAGGGTGGGGGGATAAACCACCATTTTGTCACATTCTAAAATGAGTACGTATGCACACCTGGAAATTCTGAGTCCCGGCGACCCTCGAGTGGAGCGTAGACTCGCCCCACAGGGTTTCTGGCACTGTGGTCTTTGTGGAAACCAATAGCCTCATCTTGCTCTTGCACCTGGTGGATTCAAATCCCCCCACCCTTTCTGTTTGCAGCCAAACGCTCTAGCCACTTTGCCACCAGGGCTCCTTTGGAGTTTATATAATTGTGAGAAATGGCAAAGTGCAGAAAAGGCAAAAGTCAAGCGGCCTAGTGTTTAGGCAGTCTGTAAAGCTGTCTGCCGCTGGTGACGTGCGGGCGGGGATGGGTTCCGTTCACCACAACCCTGAGGACAGGGCAGAACTGCTCCACAGGGCTCCTGAGGCTGTAAATCCTCACAGAAACTGACCGCCAGCCTCCTCCCTCTGAGCAGCTGGTAGGTTGGAACCACTGACCTTCCGCTTGGCTGTTGAGTGCATAACCCCTGCACCACCAGGTCTCCTGGGAGAGTAGCAGGAAAACGTGATGCCTGCTAGCTCTGCTGCCCAGCCACCATCATGGTCAGCAATCTGATCTCCTTTCCCATCTTATCCCTCCATGTCCATTCAGTGTGGCTGGGATTTAACAAAGAAAAAAATCAAACCCAACTCCTATGTGTCAGAGTAAAATTGTGTTCCTCCAGGTTTTGTTTTTTCTTTTACTACCTTTTTGTTGTGATTCGGATGGAAGTTTACAGAGCAAATTGGCTTTTTCCATTCAGTGGTTCCTATGTGTTGTGGCACTGATTGTAATCTTCAGGGTGCTGCAGCACTCTTCCCAGGTCCTCCCTGTGTGTCCCCTCTCCATACTTCTTTCCTCTTCCTTCATGCTTTGGGTGCTTTCTCCTTGCGTAAATGCTGTTCCTTGGTCTGGAATGGTTGATTGTTGTTGTAAGAAGTTTGTTCCTTGGCCTTACTGATCACCTTATAGGCCTGCCTAATGTTTAACCGAAAATTGAGTCACAAATGTAAGCTCAGCTCCAAGCTTGAAGGATGACTAGGCAGCAGAGTCTTAAGATTACCTTCAGGCCTTTATTCCAAGCCACCTCTGGGGGACTTGAACCCCCAACCGTTAGGTTAACAGTCGAGTGTGGTAATGGTTTGTCCCATGTGGGGAATCTCATACCCTGTGTATCTACAAGTAGCAAAGGCTGTCAGGTTGGCCCTAACTCCTGGGGGGCCATGTGTCAGGGCAGAACTTTGTTCCACGGGGTTTCTGATGGCTGACTTTTCAGAGATAGTTTGCCGGGTCTTTCTTCTGAGTCACCTCAGGGTGGACCCAGGCCTCTAGACTTCCACTTGGAGGCAGATGTTGTGAACCATTTGCACACAATCTGGGGTAACAGGCAAGTAACTGAATGTCTTCCACCCTCCATGAGGACAAGGTGGACCCTGGAATCAAACTTTCTCAAGAAGTACCAGGTTTAAAAGCTGGTGAGAGAATCCAGCTTGCCAGAGTTTTCACTTTGTGTTCTGTGTTGAGTGTTGAGGTGGCCCTGTTCTTTTCTGTTATAAATATCATAGAGGGTAAAAACCAAAATCTTTAGCGTCGAGTCAATTCAGACTCACACCAACCTCATAGGACAGAGCAGAACCGCCCCACAAGGTCTGCAAAGCTGTCATCTCTCCTAGATCGTCCAGTGATTAAAACGCTGGGCTCCTAACTCCACAGTGCGGCCGCTCTGCAGGAGGAAGGTGAGCAGGCTCATCCTGTGAGCACTCACAACCTCAGAAACCCTCTGGAGCAGTTCTACCCTGTCCTGCAGGGTTGCTGAGAGTTGGAATTGACTCCAGGGCGACAGGTGGAATCTTTATGGAAGGAGACAGTCCCATCTCTGCACAGCTGGTGGGTGAGTCTCCGACTTTTCAGTTAACAGCCGAGTGCTCCCTTCAGTACCGCGCCTCGCTTCAGTATCCTGGGAATGGCGTAGGTGTTACCTGAGTGGTGACAGTCTCCTTAAAATGAAGTGAGAGAGGAGCCTCAGAGAGGTCCGGTTCTGGTGTGTTCTGGAACCTGGTTCTGGTGCACTGTTGTGTCCTAGAATGTTCACACCCAGTGAGAAAGGAGGCCCACCCTGCCCCAGATCCACTCACGTAGGTGACTGAGTAAGAGAAAGGGCCCCTCTAGGTACCTGCTGCTAAATTGTCTTCTGGAAGTTTCTATTACATCTTGGTTATCCCATAACACATGAGAGGACTGATTTGACCCTATCTTAGCCTATCTTAGGCATCTTAACTCAAAGACCAAACAATGTTGGCAACTGAGAGTAAATGTTGCCATGTCAATTGTGACTAGGAGTTACTCCCAGGAAGGGGGCTCCTGTCGGGTGAGGAGGCGCACCTTAACCGTCTACCCACTCCCCTCCACGCTCTATGGGGACCTCTTTTTTATTAACTTTTTCTTTGAATGAAAATTAACAAAGCAAACAACTTATCTTTTTTCTTTTTAATTAAATTAATTTTAATTTTTAAAACAATTTTAATTGTCATTTTAATGAACGTTTACAGAAAAGTTGGATTTTCATTAATTCATTGTTGGACAGTTTCCTCCCGTTCTGCCTTCCCTCCCCCTCCCCAGTCCACTTTGCAATGTATTTATCTTTTTACTTATTTCTTTTTTATTTTATTATTTTTTTTGTTGTTGTGTATCATCGAATCGGATCCGATTGGTACAGAAGGAGATTGCTCCTCCTCCTCGAACAGAGCATCTGATAGATTCGAACTTGTGGCTTTGGGATTGCAGCGAAGCTACTTGCCACTAGGCCACCAGAACTTCCTTGCAATGCACTTCTAATTCCGGACTAATGTCATACATAAAATGTCTGTCCAGTCATATATTCCTTTTAAACAGTTCTTTCCGTCATCTGTTCCAAGGCCAAGCTCATTATCTACCCACTCTCTTCCTAGTTTCCCCCAACCCTCTATGTCACTCCCACTTTATAATAGCAATGTTACGCAGTATTTTTCTTTTCGTGACTGAGATATTTCATTCTGCATAACATCCTCCAGGGTCATTCATGTTGTGTGATGTTTTACAAGTTCTTTTTTTTTTTTAGTGCTGCATAGAATTCCATTGTGTCAACAAACTATAGTTTTTCTGTCTATTAGTTTGTTGATGGACACTTGGGGTGCTTCCATCTCTTCACTATTGTGAATAATAAACATGGGTGTGCATATATCTGCTTAGGTGGCAGCTCTGGTTTCTTTAGGGTATATTCCCAGTAGTGGAATTGCTGGGTCAAATGGTATTTCTATTGCCACCTTTTTGAGAAAGCGCCACACTGTCTCCCATAGTGGTTGCACCATTTTACACTCCCACCAACAGTGAATGAGGGTTCCAATCTCTGCACAACCTCACCAGCATTTGCTGTTTGCCGCTCTACTGAACTTTGCTATTGCTGTTAATTTATCTTTTTTTGTCCTGTTGAGTGCAATCCCCACAGCAAAACACTTGCTGCGTCTTATCTATGTTGACTGTTTCCATTCATATTTCTTCACTACCTTTTCTCCCTTTGGAGTTTTCTCCTTGGGCAACGCTTCCCTCTTCATCTCATCTGGTTGACTGTTCTGATGAGCAAGTCCCTCCTGGGTGATGCTGTCACCTCGCAGTCCTGTCTATCATTCGAGTGGAAGTTGCATCACGGGTTGAATTCAGTTCTAGGCCTGAAGGATGTCTCAAAATCATAGTGTCTCTGTCTACCTGGTAAGTCTGGTCATAGTCATGAGTCTCGTCACTTTTTCTCCCACTCCATCTAGAGCTTTCCTGTGACCCCTTTCCGAGTGGCTGGTAGTGGTAGCTTGGCACCAACCAGTTCTTCTTGCCTGAGTCCTAGAGGCTCAGGTTAAGGGCGTCTTGCTTCACTATTACCTTAGGAGATAAATACTTTTATGAGATGACTTATTTTTAATGTTTGAGGTGTCTTCTTACATCTTCCTACCAACAACCTTTGATTGGCTATACATATTATTTTTATTAATTTTAATGAACATTTACAGAGATTCTGGATTTCCATTCATTCATTGTTGCACTTTTCTCCCTTCCCAGTCCTCTCCCCCCCCCCGCCAATTTCTTATTAGAAATCCGTTTGCAGAGGAATTAAACTGATTTTTGTGTGTTGAGCTTTTTTAAAAAATAATTTTAATGAACATTTAAAGAGATTTTGGATTTCCATTCATTCATTGCTGCACTTCTCTAACCGCCCAGTCCTCTCCCCCCCCCCGCCAATTTCTTATTAGAAATCCGTTTGCAGAGGAATTAAACTGATTTTTGTGTGTTGAACCTTTTTGTATGTTGTCCACTGCACTTAGTTGAAATAGTTGTATCCTGTAATTTTCTTGATGAGTTTTTGTGCATGTTAATTGCAAGCTGTTGTCTGATGTCTTTAGTTCTCTGGCCAAAAAAAATCTTCTTTAATGTTTCTTATTGGGCTGGTATAGTCTTCACAAATTTGTTTAATTTCTGTTTATCTGGAAATGTTCTAATTTCATCATTATATTTGTTGGACAATTTTGTTAGGTAGGTATGCACTTCTTAAGTTGGCATTTTTCTATTTTTATATGTGATCACATTGCCTTCTTGCCTGCTTGAGAGAAATTTTTGCTGAGAAATCAGGGCTTAGATTTATTGCTTTTCCTTTTAGGTACCTATTTGTTTGGCTTTTAAATGATCTATTTGCAGCGTTCTTTAATTTTGCAACATTTAATTATACTATAGCTTTATTGTATTGTCTTTAATTTTGTTATCTCAATACTACTAGTTTTGTAAGATAAATTGGGAAGTATTCCTCTCCTCTTCCTTTTTCCTAGAAAATATTTTAAGGAATTGGTGTAAATTCTTCTTTAAACACTGGGTATAATTATCCAGTGACGCTCCTTGGATCTGGAAAATTTTTATTTGAAAAATTTAAGTACAAATTCAATCTCTCTCTCATTCCCATTGAGTTGGAGCCAATGCATAGTTTCTGACGCTGTAAAACGCACAACAGGATGACAGGAGACTGGTCCTCTTTCTCCTGTGGACCTGGTGAATTAGAATTGCCAGAGAGGCACAGCCTTTTGGCAAGAAGCGTAGCTCCTTACAATTTATGCCATGGCATGTTGCATATGGTGTGAGTTGTGGTTGTTGTTATTATATACCATTGAGTTGGAATCAACCCATAATAGACCCTCCAGGGGTTTCAGAGGCACTAAATACACTTGGGGAGATTGCCCGTCTTTCTCACATGGATCAACTGGTAGTTTGTGGTTTTGTTTTTTGGTTTTTTTTTTAGTTTGTGCTTTTTTAAGGAATTGGCTTATTTCACCCAATTTTCCAAATGTCTAGCTGGAGAGTGTTCAGAGAACTTTTTAAAAATTAATTTCAATGAACATCTACAGAGATTTTGGACTTCCATTCATTCATTGTTGCACTTTTCTCCCTGCCCACCCCACCCCCACCCCCAGTTCGTGATTGGCTATAATTTTTTTAAAACAAATCCTTCTTTTTTTTCCTTGTTGTGTGCCAAAAGTTGGATTTGACTGACACAGAAAGATATAGCCCTTCCTTCTCTGGTGGATTTGAACTGTACACTTTCAAAATTGCAATGAAGCTTCTTGCCACTAGAGCTCCTAGCTGTATTTATTTTTAACTTTGTATTGTGATGTGGGTAGCAGTTTACAGACAAATTGATTTTTGACTCAGTAATTCACACTGAGCACATTTTGTTTTGTAACATCGATATGATTCTCATATTGTAACAGCACTCTTCCCACTTCATCCTTGTGTCTCCCATTTCCACTCCTCCTTCTTTCCCATCCCTTCCTGCCCTCTGTGCTTTCTTTCTGGCAAATACTGCCCTTTGGTTTTATGTGGTTGGTTGATCAACTGTCTTTACAGTGTTGTAGACAGCGCAAGACTGCATTTTCTTTTTTTTTATATAATGGCAAAATGTACAGAACACAAACATGACCGTTGTAAAAATTTTAAAGCTCACACTTCTGTGGCATTCATTATGTGCCAAACTGTGCAATAATAACCACTACCTAGTTCCAGAACATTCTATCATCCCAAAGAGAAACCCTGATCTAGTATCTCACTTTTCTAATGCTGCTATAATGGAAATAACTTGAATGGGCAACTTTAACAAACAGAAATTTGTTCTCTTACCATTTCGGAGGCTGGAAGTTAAAGGTACTAGCTCTGGGTGAAAGACAATCTCTGTGTGTCTCTTGACCTAAGAGGTTCTAGTGTGGGAACCTGAGTCTGCAGGACATGCTCCACTCCTGGTTCCACCCACCCACACACCCCTTATAAAACAATTTATTAACTAAACACTAAACTGGCCAAGTAAACAGTGTGCAGGGGAACTTGGGGGGTAGGTGGGTGTCCAAGGCAGCTGGGATTTGGGGAGGGTCTGTAGCAAGGGGCAACAATAGGGGCAGGGGTTGGGGTTAGACTAGGGGATGAGTTTCTTTAGTTTCTGTAGTTCTAGAAGTAGATGCAAAAGTCCCAGGGTGCATTCAGCAGTATTTTTGCAATCTAGGAGGACATCCCAGCAGTGGTGTCAGAGAACAGTTCCATACTGGTTTGTGTGTGCTCTAGGGACCCCTGCGTCTTACGGATGAGCTGATTCAGAAACTCAAAAGAATCCTATCTTTGGCTCTATACAAGATGAGAACAAGGCACCAGCAGTGTGGGAAGTCATCTTCTCAAGGGAGTTGGCCACTGAATAATAAAAATACTCCCCCCAAATCAGCAAAAAATCAAAAGAAGAAAGATAAACCCATCCATCCCCAGTGCTGCTGAGGATCACTGCCTGAAGAGGCTCCAGCTTTGGGGGGAAAGAAGGGCTTGCGGTCAGGGAGCTGCCACACCCTCACCCTTATTACACATAATTTTGGGTGCCCAAGGCTAAGGGGTGCCCTGTGGAGCAGAGGCTGAGTAGTGTGCCATATATTGATTGGTGCTTCAGGATCCCCCCGAGGGACACATGCAGCTGACTTCTGTCTAGCAACAACAGGCCAGAGGCACCAGCTCCTTCTTCTGAGCCTCAGCCACCAAGGGGCTGTAAAAGTCCTGGATGATGGAGTTGGCAGTCCAGCAGGTCAGGATGAAAGCCAGCATACCTGAGATGATGAAGATGATCCCGGAGGTGAGCATCAGACGAATCTTGACATCCTTGTCCTCCACACACGTGGTACACTTGGCCCCTGTGATGTAGACCTGCAGGCCACGCAGGGCGACCAGGAGGGGGATGACGCAGAGGGCACAGGCAACCTGCAGGTTCTGGGACAGCAGCGAGTCGAGTCGTACGCCTTGCATCTGGCCAGCCCCTCCCCACATGACCTGGGCCACCGTGATGCTGCTGCTGCTGAAGGCGGTCACCTTCCACATGGGCAGGGTGCAGGACACCAGGGCATTCACCCAGTCGAGCAGCGTCAGGACGAGTCCCAGGATCTGAAGGTCAATGGAGGCCATGGTGAGGAGCCGAAGCTCTGTGGAGAATAGAGAGATTGGTAGGAGGAGGCACAAAGTCCCCTTCTTCTTTCTTGGTGGTGGTAGTCTGATGTCTGCTTGAAGCTTTCTGGTATCACAAGTTTTGTTGTATATCATAGAGCCAAAACTAACACATAGCTGAGCCTCCATCAGGTTTTCAGAGGCAGTGAATCTAATGTGAGCAGATTGTCCATCTTTCTCCTGTGGAGCAGCTGGTAGATTTGAACTGTGTGTCTTTACATCAACAGTGAAACTCCCTACCAATGAGTGACCAGAGTTCCCCAGACATTGATCAAAGATACAGCCTAATCCTGTAAAATGTATTCTGCCTCATTAACACAATTGCTTCATTAATGTAAAAGTCTAGGGTTTGCAACATGTAGAATAATTACATCAGAGCAAAAAAGGGGAGTGATTACATCAAGTCACAACTATTGGAGGATGATTGTATTACATGAAAATGATGACCACATTATATCCCCTACACCACAAAACGAGAGGTGGTGACATTATGTTACAAAGTGTAGGGTGGTTACCTCATGTCAAACACTGGAGGATAAAGACATCATACTGAAAATTATGGTCTAGCCATGTTGGAATATTACAGGGACACAGTTTAATCTATAATATCCAATAAACTGTCACTCCATATTCCCAGCCTCAGCCAATGTTAATTTATTTTGTCTGTATGGATTTGCGAGACAACTCTCCTGGCTTAGTACTAAGAAGGTGCACTGCCAACCCAAAGGCAAGTGGTTCAAATCCACCAGCCTCCCCGCAGGAGAAAGATGGGTAATCACCTCCTGTGTGAGTAACTGCCTCTGAACAGCAGCTCAGTGATGAGTCCATGTACATAACAGCAACATGGATTGCCTGTTCTAGAGATTTCATGGAAGTAGAATTATCTAATAACTGAATTTTTGTGTCTTGTTTCACTCAGTAAACTGTCTTCAAGACTAGTTGTGCTGTGGCTTTTAACAATGCTTCAACCCTTTTTGTGGCTGAGATGTCAAAACTGCCCCTCATCTCACTAGCCTATGCCAGGAAATTTGGAAGATAGTTTCCTGGGAGAAGATCCATGTTTGTTCTCATTTCCTAAAAAGGTGACCCAACTGAATGTGGATATTATAGAACATCATTCATATCACATGCAAGTAAAATCTTGCTGAGGATCATTTAAAAGTGACTGAACTTGAATATTTACAAAGAACTTCCAGAAATTCAAACTGGATTCAAAAGAGGCTTTGGAACAAGGGATATCATTGCTGAGGTCAGATAGATCTTGGTTGACAGCAGAGAATACCAGAAAGATTGTTGTTATGTGCTGCCGAGTTGCTTACAGCTCATAGTGATCCTGTTTGTACAACAGCTCTGAACCCTGCTCTATCCTGAGCCACCCTTATTGTCCCTGACAGACCTACCCCCATTACCCCAGTCACTGAGTCAATCTATCTCCTTGAGGGTCTTCCTCTCCTGTGTTGTCCCTCCACTCTCTCAAGAATGATGTCCCTCTTCAAAGACTGGTCCCTTCTTGTAATATGTCCAAAGTATGTCAGATGGAGCTTCAGAATCCTTGCCTCTAAGGAGCAGTCTGGTTTCACCCTCTCCAGGACAAACCTAGGTTTGTTCTTCTAGCAGTCCATGGCATTTTCAATACTCTTCTCCAGCACCACAACTCAAAGGCATCAATTCTTTTTCTATCATCCCTAGTCATTGTCCAGCTTTCTGATGCATAGCAAGTAATTGCAAAAACCATGGCCTGGATCAGGTTCATCTTAGACTCCAGAATGGCATCATTGCTATGATAGCAGACTTTCCCAATGCAATTCATCCTTTGATTACCTGGCTGCTGGTACCAAGAGTGTTGATTGTGGAGCCAAGGAAACGGAAGCTGTTAACAATCTCAATCTCTTCATCATCTATTATGATGCTACTTATCATCCCAGTTGTGAGAATCTTTGTTTTCTTGATTTTTTAAAATTATTATTTTTTAGTTTTTTTACTTTTATTGTATTATTTTTACGTGTACCGTCAAATCAGATCTGACGGGTACAGGAGGAGATTGCCCCCTCCTTCTCCAGCAGAGCATCTGGTGGATTGTTTTCTTGATGTTGAGCTTCAATCCCTCGTTAAGGTTGCAGATGTTTGCATGTGTTTTATTGACTATGCAAAGCATTTGATTGACTCTGTGGATCATAACAAATTATGGCTAACACTAAGAATGGAAATCTGAGAATACTTAATTGTGCTTATATGAAACCTATCCAAAGTTAAGAAGCAGTCATCCAAACAGAACAAGGGAAACATGATTTACAATCAGGAAAGGTGTGTCAGGGTGGTATCTTGTTTTCACTTCTGGTGACCTATTGTTGTTTTTGTATTCCATCGAGTCAGAACCAACTGAAAGCTGACCATCTAGTGGGTTTTCAGGGATTGTAAATCACATAGGAGGTGATCGTCCATCTTTCTCCCACAGAGCAGCTGCTAAATTTGAAGCAAATGCCTCTGGGTTGGCAGTGCAGCTCCTTACCCACTGTTGTTGTTGTTGTTGTTGTTATGTGCTGTTGAGTTGCCCATGACTCATTGCGACCCTATGTACAACAGCCCTAAATTCTACAGTATTCTGTGCCAGTCTCACTACCTCTGACACACCTGCCCCCATTATTACTCCAGTCACTGAATCAATTCATCTCATCGAGGGTCTTCTTCTCCTGTGCTGTCCCTCCATCCTCCCAAGCATGATGTCTCTCTCCAAGGACTGGTCTTTCCTTGCAACATGTCCAGAGTAGGTCAGACGAAGCCTCAGAATCCTTGCCCTAAAGGAGCAGCCCAGCTTCACCCTCTCCAGGACAAACCTGTTCTTTTCCTTGCAGTCCATGGTATATTCACTACTCTTCTCCAACACCACAGTTCAAAGGCATTAACTCTCCTTCTATCATCCCTAGTCATTGTCCAACTCTCCGATGCATAGCAAGTGATTGCAAAGACCATGGCATGTATCAGGTGCACCTTAGTCTCCAGATTGACATCTTTGCACTTCAGCACCTTAGAGAGGTCTTTACAGTAGACTTTCCCACCGCAATATGTCTTTTAATTTCCTGGTTGCTGTGGATCCTGGTTGACTGTGGATCCAAACAAACCAAAACTGTGAACAATCTCAGTCTCTTCACCATCCAATATGATGCTGGCAATTGGCCCAGTTGTGAGAATCTTTGTTTTTTTGATATTAAGTCTCAATCCATACTGAAGACTGCAGTCCCTGACCTTCCACAGCAAGTGCTTCAGGTCCTCTTCAGTTTCAGCAAGCAAGGTTGTGTCATCTGCATAACGCAAATTATTGATGATTCTTCCTCCAATCCTGATGCCACACTTCTCCTTATAGAGGCCAGCCTCCCGGATAATCTGCCCTGCATACAGGTTGAAAAGGTATGGAGACAGGACACATCCCTGGTGTATACCCTTCCCAGTTTTGAACCATGCAGTGTTTCCTTGCTCTGTTCTGACGACTGCCTCCTGGTCCAAGTATAGGTTTCTCATTAGCACGATCAAGTGTTCTGGGATTCCCATTCTTCTCAGAGTCAGCCACAGTTTGTTATGATCCACATGCCTTTGCATCATCATTTCCCTGTGGTGGTTTAGTGGTAAGAAGCTGCACTGTTAGTGCAAAGGCAAGCAGTTTGAGTCTACCTGTCGATGGTATAAAGATGGGCAGTCTCTTTCTTTTAGATTTACAGTCTCTGAAAACTCACTGAATGGTCCATAATGAGTTGAATGGCAATGATTTAGGATTTGGTTTGTTGTTGTTTTTTAAAAATTAAAACTGCACTGAGCAAATCATTCAAGAAGGTGGACTATGTGCAGAAGAATGTGCCATCAGTATTGGAAGATGACTCACCAGCAACCTGTGTTACCAGATGACACAACTTTTCCTGCTGAAAGTGAAGAAAACTTGAAACACTTCCTGCAGAAGACCAAAGACTACACATCCTTCAATATGGATTACATCTCACCACAAAGAAAACAAAAATCTTGACCAGTGGACCAATAGGCAATATTATGACAGATGGGGGGAAAAAGATTGAATTTGTCAATAATTTAATTTTACTTGGATCGACAACAAACACCCATAGGAGCAGCAATCAAGAAATAAAAAACGTGTTGCATTGGGGAAAATCTGCTGTCAAAACCTCCCCAGGGTGTTACAGAGCAAGGAAACACTAAGGTGTGCCTGACCCATGCTACGGTACTTAAAATTGCTTTGTATGTAGCTGAAAGTTGGACCACGAATAAGGAAAATCAAAGAAGACTTGATGCCCTTGAATTGTAGTTTTGGTAAAAAACAAACTGCCAAAAGGACAAACACATTTGTCTTGGAGGGAGAGCAACCGGGGTCCTCCTGGAGGCAAGAATATAAAAACTTTGTCTCACATACTTTGGGCAAGTTTTCAGGAGGGACATGTGTTATGGGTCAACTATGGTTCATAGCAACCCTGTGAACAATGGCTCTGAATCTTCCCCTGTCCTGAGACAACCTCATCATCTCTGACACACCTGACCCCATTGCCACAGTCACTGTTAATCCATCTCATCCAGGGTCTTGCTTTCCTGCACTTCCAAGTATGATGGCTTTCTCCAAGGACCAGTCCCTCCTGACCATGTTCTTGCACCCAAGAACCAGGCAGTGTTTTGTTCTGTTGAACCTGGGGTCTGTGAGTCACGACCAACTCAACAGTACCCAACCAATATCCCATTGTGTGGGTGAACTACACTCTGTTTCTCCATCATCTGCTAGTGGACATTTGGGTTGTGTCCACCTTTGGGCTCCTGTGAACAGTTTTACTAGTTATCCTTCTATTTTTATGATGATGGTCTTATACAGTATTTGTCTTTATGAGACTGAGTTAATTCACTCAGAATAATGCTCACCAGTCTCTCCCAAGTTATGTAGTATTTTTCAAAATAGTTGCTCCTGAGTGCTGCAGAGTATTCCATTATGTGAATGCACCACAATCTCTCAATCCATTCAGTTGTAGTTGGACATTTGGGCTGTTTCCATGATCTTGTGGTGGTGAATAAAGATGTTATGAACATAGTGCACAGGTATCCATTTGTGTCTCAAGTTCTAATTTCCTTGGGGTTTATTCCTGGTGGTAGAATAGCTGGGCCATATGGAGTTTCTATGTTCAACTTTCTGAGGAAAAGCCATACTGTCTTCCAGAGCGGTTGTACCATTTTACAATCCCACCAACACTGTATGAGAGCTCCAATCTCTCCACATCCTCTCCCAACATTTATTTATTACTTGCTGCCCTGTTAAACTTTGGCACTGCTACTGGGGTGAGATGGTATCGCATTGTGGTTTTGATTTGCATCTCTCTTATTGCCAGTGATTTTGAACATTTCTTCCTGTGTCTGTTGGCCATCCGAATGTCCTCCTTTGTGAAAAGTTTTTCCATGTCTTTTGCCCATTTTGTAATTGGGTTATCAGCCTTTTCTTTCCGGAGGCCCAGGAGTATGCTGTAAACTTTTGTTATGAGACACTTATCTGAAATGGTATTGCAAATGTTTGTTTCCAGTTGAAAAAGTGGGAGGGTTTTTTTTTTAAGAAGCCACAACATTGAACTTTTTTCCTTTTTGTATTATGATTTGAGTGAAAGTTTACTGTGCAGATTGGTTTTCCATTACACCATTCATACACATATTGTTTTAGGTCATTAATGAAAATCCCCACAACATGACCACACTCTTCCCACTTCCTCCTTGTGAGTCTCATTTCCTGCATTCTGGGCTTTGTCCCTGAGCAAATGATGTCATCTTACATGGTGGCTTATAGTTGCTTATTTTAGGAAGTGAGTGCCTCTCTGGTGTTATTGTTCGGTCTGTAGGCCTGCCTGTCTATTGTTTTGGCTGAAAGCTGAGCCACAGGAGTGAGTTAAGTTACAGGCTTGAAGGATGATTAAGGGCTTTAGTCTCAAGAGTTCCATCAGCTTCTATCAAACCAGTAAGCCTGGATGTTTTATAGTTCTGAATTTTGTTCCATGTGTTTTTTGGCCACTGTATCCAAGGTCTTTTACTACCAAGTCTTTCAGAGTGTCCTGCAGTGGTAGCTGGGCACCGTCTAGTGCTTCTGGTCTCTAGACTTCCTGCCATCCAGACAATCCTGATCCACAGTGACCCTCTATCCAGTTTCTGAGGCTGTAAATCTTTATAGGAGGAGATGGCTCACCTTTCTGTTTTGGAGCAGCTGGTAGATTTGAACTGCCGACCTTTCAGCTAGCAGTCTAACACTCTTCACACTGTACTACCAGGGCTCCTTTCTGTTCTGTGAACCTGTTTTATTTCTTTATTTTTTTTAATCAAGTCTGGGGATCCTCTGTCTCTTTAGTGTGAGATGGATCCATACACATCTCTCAGGATCGTGGTTTGTAAGTCTGTTTCTTCATCTTCCTCTCTCATCTCTCCATCCTTCAACGGACTGGTTCTGTCTCTGGGTGGGTGGGGTATCTAGGAAGCCCAGTTTGAGTCCTCGTCAACGTGAGGGACAGATAATAATGTTGTTGTTGTTGTGGTGGTGGTGGTGGTGGTGGTGGTGGCATCAGAACTAACTCATAGCTGACCCTCCAGTGAGTTTTCAGAGGCCATTTAATCACATAGGAAGAGATTGCCCATCATTCTCCCATGGAGCATCTGGTGGATTTGAACTACATGTCTTTGGGATTACAATGCAGCTTCTTGCCATTAGGTTTCCAGAGTTCCTCAATAATAGCACTAGAACACTCATTTTTGTGCTCACTGCCAATGCTGCTCTGGTTTCTGCTTTTTTACTGATATACTTCGGCCCCCTGCCCCTTGCCTTTCTTTTGAAATTTAACCAAAACAAAAACCAGTTTCATTGACTAGATTCTGACAGACTAGCCCTGCCCCACAGGGTTTCTGCGGACGAAAATCTTTCCAGGAGCATCCCTGCCTCATGTTTTTTCATCGAGCTGTGGGTGGGTTCAAACTGAAGATCTTTTTGTTAAGCAGCTCAGTCCTTTCACACTGTGCTAACTGAGCTCCTTGTCAATGCCCATGAGTCAGAGCTATCCTGCCCTTTTCTTCCCCCATCTCCCAAAGGGTGGTGGTCTTCACTGGGATTCCCACTGGGGATGGGTGTTAGGATGGGGTATCCCAGGAGCACTCAGTCTGAGTTGGCCTCCACAGTGTTAGATTTGGGCTGAGCTTTGAAAATCAGGAAGCCTGAGCTGGCTGGGGCCCTGGTGGTCTGGTGGGTTAAACCTTGGACTGCTAACCGAATGGTCTGTGGTTTGAGTCAATCACCTGCTGTTGGAAGATGGGGCAGTCTGCTTCTGTGAAGATCACAGTCCTAGAGACCATATGCAGCAGTTGCACTCTGTCCTCCAGGGTTGATGAGTCAGGATTGAGTGGACAGCAGTGGGTTTGGGCTTTGAGGTCCAAGAACGCAGGCAGCTGTGGCTGGGAAGAGTGGGATGTGCGGAGAGGGTGCTGGGGTCTAGGCTGGGGTGGGAGGCTGGTGAAACTGAGGACTGAGACTGCAGGGGGCCACCTATGGTTTTCAGAAGCCCCCTCCCCCAGGGGTCTGCATGGGGGTCAGAGGCCTGAGCCTGGCACAGGGTAACTCCTGAAGTTCTTTTGTAAATGGGGAGACTGTTGCTGTAGTCCCAGCCAGAGGGAAATATGGAGGGGCCTGTGAGCCGGGGGGCAGGCAGGAGGAATGACCCCCATGCCTTGCCCAGCTCAGCTGCCTGGCCAACCTCGTGGGGCACCAAGGCCTCCAGGATGACTTTGAGCGACACCCTCCAGATCTACTGCTGTTTTATGAGTGAGTGCCTGCCTGCCCTCCTCCCCTGAGCCATGCTGGCCTCCTCCTGGGGCAACCCCCTCCTGTGTGTCCACTCTGGAGGGAGGCCAGCCCTACCCTCCTCAACAGATGTCATGCTGCCCACTCATAGCCTGACCCAGGTGCCAGGAGAGGACTGCCAGGCTTTCACACGCCATGCAGGACAAGGGAACACGGAGCTGCTGGCCAACCTGCCGGACCAGAGGGTTGCCCTGCGCCGCAAAGCCCTGGGCTGCCTGGTAGGTGCTGTGGAGGCCCCTGGCTTCACCCCAAAGACATTACATACCTCTCTCCACATAATCTTAAAAACTTTGACAAGAATCTACCTCTTTAAAACAAATATTTTATTTGTACAGTCATACATGGTAAAAATTTCTCCAGAAATTATATTTAGAAAAAATGAAATATTAAAACATGCTTTTGTTATTTTTGTATGTGGTTGGGGTTCCCCCCTTTACTTCTCTAATACAGACAATTAACTAGCTAATCTTTTAAAAGTTGTACTTTGAACACTACAAAAACAAACATTAATTAGACACAGAATTGCCTTTAAAATCACTTTTAATAGGAGAGCTGAACACTGTGTCAAATGCAAGAATGATTCCCCATGGTGGTCAGTGTTTGGTGGAGCTCCCCGATTAAAACAAGCTTGGAAGCAGGAGTGACATCCACTTTTGAAATAGCTTGCTTCCGAAAACTCTATGAAATTGGAGAAACGATGAAAGTTATACAAATGATTAGGTCTTTCGTTCATAGGGGTTGCTATGAGTCAACGGCAATTAACAACAACAATAGGAGAAATAAAACTGAAGAATATAATGGTAATGATTATAATAAGTGAACTAAGTAGCAGTTACTGATCACTCTTTTTCTAGGCCAGGTGCTTGAAAACATTTACGCTTCACACTAATCCTGTGAGATAATTATCATTCCCACTTTATGGATATGCAAGTTGAGACTTGAAGGATTTTAGGCAAGTTCTACAAGATTATAGTTAATAACTGAATTTGCAGGGGGGACCACGGCTCCGTGCCCCAGATCTGCTGCTGCTCGGGAGTCTGGTGTGCGACATGGACGCGGCCAGCATCGCGGCAGCTGACCCTCATATTCTACAGAACCTGCAGCGCTGCCCACGACTGACGGTGGCTCAGCAAGATGCCCTCAACACACTGCTGGCCAGCGGGAGGACCGCGCTTGGGTGGGTGGTGGACCACACTCTGGTGGGCTGCAGGGGCACTGCCCTCTGGTGGGCGGGAGTTTAGAGGTGCTCCAGTGGGCGGGGCTTCAGAGTGATTCCCGCCCACACTCACCCAGGACTTCCTGGGTTTGGGCCCCAAGGACGCGTGTTCACGGACCTAGTGACGTCTGGGGTAGCGGTAGTGGTGGAATCTGCAGTCAATTGTTCATCTCCCTGCTGATTCGAATCACCCAGTGGTGCTGCAGAAGATGGGAAATCCTTTCCCATGCAATTTACAGCCTTGCAAACCCAATGAAGTGTCCACTAGGAGTCTCTTCTGACTGTAAGAGAGGCTGACCTCTGACACGAGCTCTGAGCCACCTCTCAATTTATAGGGCACAGGGTTTATGGAATAGAGTGGCAGCTTCTTGAACTCCAACCTCTGAGCCCCTCAGCTGGGGTGTGCCCGTACAGGACTGACCTTCAAATTGGACCATCCTATGGGCTCCAGCTCAGGAGTAAGGGTCCCAAAATGGGTCATCTGAGCAGCTCAGGGAGGAGCAGGCAGTGGTGGGACTGGACATTGCCCCGGGCCCCCACAGCCTCCCGTCCTGCACACCAGGTCCCCGGGCTCCTGGACTGTGGAGGGCCTTCAGGCCCTGGGACCCCTGGCCACTCACATCAGCCCCCGGCTATGGATGCAGGTACCTGAGGTAGGACACTGTCCCAGGAGGGGGCAGGGCACAGAGAGGCATCCAGTGGCCCTCTCCAGTCGTATCCCAGGGGTCATGAGGTCTGCCTGTAGGAACAAGTGGTCAGTGGCCAGAAACAGAGCTGTCACAGCTGTGCCCCAGGCCATAGGCCTGGACTTCTTCCGCAGCACAGTGGCCTCATACCGGGAGGGGCAGCTTAGCCCTCGAGACATCAGAAACATCAGACAATTTGTCACCAGCTTCCTTGAGGCCAAGGCTGAGGGGGAGTCACCAAGGCCCAGACGGGGCACAGGTCAGTGGCCCCCAAGGCTGGTGACGCTGCCCTCCCCCTGCCAGAGTCGCCTGGTGAGGGCAGCCTCCACACCAGCTCCAAAGCTCAGGGGTTCACACTCGGCAGAGGGCTGGGATGGGGGCTCAAGTTCAGTGGGGCTGGGTTTGAGAGCAAAACTGGGGCCAAGAGTAGAGGCTAGTCACACGGAGGGGTCAAGGATGGGCTTCGAAATCTGGACACCACCTGGCCTCACCACCACAGGGAGAGCCTGTGTCCATGGGGACATCACAGCGGCCACCCTTCGGGACGACCTCTTCTTGGTGCGCTATGACTGCCCACAGCTCGAGTCCTGCCTGGGCAGCCGTGTGCTGCGGGCCAACCTGGATCCCCTGCTGCAGCAGCCCCTGCCCGCCGAGTGCCAGCGTGTGGTCAAAGCCAAGCTCTGCCAGGTGGGTTGGGCCAGAGGGAGGTGGGGCTGAGCTGGGCCAGGTGTTCAGGACAGCGAGTGGTCAGGGCTGAGCTGAGCCCGTGGGCCAGGGGTGGGGAGGTGGGGTGGAGGGTAGGGAGGATACTGAGCTGGTTGGGTGGGGCAGTAGGTGTTTAGGGCTGAGCTGGGTCGGGTGGATGTGGTAGGGGGGTTGAGGGATTGGGGTGGGGCAGTCAGGGCAAGGGGGCAACCTGTGGTTAGGGTTGCGGTGAGGTGGGCAGGGATACCAGGTGAGCAGGCCTGAGCTGAGCCCAGTAGATGAATAAAGCTCTGTAGAGGATGGCAGGCAGGACTATCCACCCAACATCCCTCCTACTCCACAAGGTCAACCTGACCTCCCGGCCCACCCACCCTTGCAGATCTATCCCCGTGGCATCCCGGAAGACCAGCTAAGGCTCATCACTTCGTTGGTCTACCTGTACTCTAGCTCTGAGATTGGCCAGTGGAACATCACTTCCCGAGACACTGTCCTGGCCCTGCTGGCAGCCAATGTGGCCCTGGATAACCAGACAGAGGTGTGGCGGCGGGATGGAGCCCCTGAACCCATAGCCCTGGGCATCATCCACTGACCCTGCCCCCACCCCTACCCTCAGGCTGTGCTGCAGAAGTTTCTGGACCACAATGGCACGCTCACTGGGCCCCTGCTTGTGGCCATTGGAGGCACTCGCCTCTGCTGGATGAGTCCCAGGCAGATCCAGACAATCAGGCCCTCTGAGTTCCGGTGAGACCTCCACCCTGAGGCCCCTCTGCCCCATCCCCAACCAATCCTGCCAGCTAGGAGTACCAGGCCGGAGTCAGTTCCATCCTTAGGCTGACAAGGACCACAAAGGAGAAACTGAGGCTTAGGGAGAGTATACTAGCCTCCCTCACCCCCAAGCAACAATTATAGAAGACTGAAAGCCTTAATTAAACAACAGAAATTCGTTCTCACAGGGACCTGGAGGCCACAAGTTGGAATTCAGGGTGTGAGTAGGACCATGTTCCCTCAAAGACTTTGGGGAGTGTCCAGCATCACCCTAACCTCTGTCCCCTTCCTTTGACAGCATCTTCTGTGTTCTCTAAAGACACTGTCATTGAGTTAGGGCTGGGCCCACTCCAGTGTGGCCTAATGTAGCTGATTTCCCATTTTACAGACACCCTATTTCCCAGTCAGGGTGCAGGCTGAGTTTCTGGTGGATGTGAATTTGGGGGGCACCATTCATCCTACTACAAAGGTCAAGGGGAGAGTAACAATCAAGCTGAGCCTCCAGAGGGTGGGGCCCTCCAACCTGATCACTGGTCTTGACCCCCAGGCTGGCTGGAGCCCTGGACATCTCTGCCTGCCCGCAGAGCCGCAAGAACGTGCTCTATGCTAAGGCCCGTGAGGCCTTCAGGGGCACCAGGACCCCGGCTGCCTATTACCGCTTCATGCGCCCCTATCTCGGTGAGCCCCCTGCGTGTGAGCCTGTGTGCTTGTATGCATGCTGCTCCCAGGTTTGCCCTGAGGGCATACGTGAGCTCTCCGTCCAAGATGCGCCCTGTGTGTGCATACACTCACGCTCAGGTTCGCCCTACGTGCGTGCGCGCGCGTGTGTACTCCCGCCAGGTTCACTCTGGAGTGCAGGTGCTCTCCCCAAGTTCACCCTGCGTGCATACGTACGTACACACACACACACACACACACACACACACACACACTCTTCCTGCTTTGCCCTTCCTTCTGACTGCCGCTCAACCCCTGCCCACCTCCAGGCGGCGCCCCAGTGGAGGAGCTTCAGCATCTGGCTCAGGCTAATGTCTCCCTGGACATCGATACTTTCACCAACCTCAATCCCCGAGTGTTGCAGGTGGGACTAGGTCTCCCCGCTGCAGGCAGAGTGTGGTTGGGCTCCCCAGAGCTGCAGGGCACAGACCCTCCATCCCCAATTCCCTTGGATGCCAGAGCCTACAGATCGTGAGGCACTGGAATATATTCTGCAGCTGTGCCCGGCTTTCAAAGCAATCCCTACACATCCACTGCCGGAGAGTCTACTCCTGGGGACCCTGTAAAACAGAGTGGAACTCTCTGGGATTCAAGCCCCCCCATTCACACTGGTCTTCCCAAAGCTAGCCCCTGAGGGAACTGTGTTCCCCACCACCACCAGCTGTTCTCCCACAGAGCCTAAGTGTGGACAATGTGACCACGCTGCTGGGCCAGAACGTTGGCGACCTGCAGAAAGCACGCAGCCACCCCACCATCAGCTCCTGGCTTCGAAGTCTCAACCGCTCAGCCCTGGGCGAGCTGGGCCTTGACACCGATGTCTCCAGCACCACCCATCCAGCCTTCGTGACTGGGGGCACCCTGAGTACCAGGCCTCGACCACCCCTCGCGGTCCAGCCCTCAGACCTGCCTGGAAGTGGAGCCGAGGCCTCCAGTTCAGGTGTGCTCCGTGTACCTCACTGCCCTCTGCTAGTTCTAGTGGGTGCCCCCTCCCAAGGTCCTCTGTGGGCTGGCTCAACTAGCGTCATTGGCCTCCCAACTCCTTGCTCCTGGTCTTGACCTGTGTGGCTGGCACCTCATTCACCTTCACTGCCCGCTGAGTAATTTGGGAGTGTAATCACAGCAGAGAGACAGGTGTGATAGGAACTCCTGGAGAGGGGAAGGTCCTTGTTTGATTGCTTTGCATTCTAGAAGGGGTAGACTGTGGCCCTGGGAGGGGCTGCCTGCATGGCCCCAGCCAGGACTGATGAGTACCCCTCTGTGTCCGCTTCAGGCAGCCCTCGGACAGCCCTGGGGTCCCTGCCACTTGCTCTGGTCCTGCCCTCTGGTCTCCTGTGGCTGATGCACTGGACAACCCCAAGCCCACCAAAGAGTGCAGTTTTTTCAGTCAGACGGTGCTTCCGCAGTGCATGCAGGGAAGACAGGCCTTGTGCTCAGAACTGGGATAGGGACCCTGCTGACTCGGCCCCCAGTCACCGCTGGCTTCTGGAACCTGGAACTGATATGAAGCTCTGTGGCTGCCGGCCTCATTGCACTGCCAGTAGAACTGGGTGGGGACTTCAAAGTCACCAGATGTACTGATGGATGTGGGATGTGAATAAAGCTCTGGTCTCTCCCTGCCAGTGTCCATTTGCTCTGGGTCAGTGCCAGAACTACAGAGACCCTTGGCCAGGACCCAACCTTCAGAGTCCACACACACACACACACACACCCCTACCCCACCCTGTCAGGTAGGGGTTTAGTGACAGGATACCAGAATCTTTGCGTCTTTGTGTGATTCATACTTCCCCAGTGTGAGCAGGGCCTGGGGTGACAGCGCAAACTCTGGGAGGGAGTCTCAGTTGCTGGGCCCTGCCAGCACTCACGGGGGTCCCGAGTCACTCACTGATGCCATCAACAACCTCAAACACCATCAGTCTGCAGGGGGCATAGTTTCATTTATTGAGGGTGGGAGACATGGAGATCATCAACCTGCTTACAGACAGGTAGGCAGCAGTGGCTGGGGTCAGGGTCCCAGAGCAGTGGTGAACTCAGGACTGAAGGTAGGCATTTCGCCAGCTTGGGTCCAGGGAAGCAAGGCCGCTTGAGATCTTCTTGGTGCGAAGAAGGCACCTCCAGAACCAGCTGGCCTCCCTGCAGTCGGCTACCCAAGTTTGGTACCCAAGTCCATGATTACGACACCGTTGGGGATGTCTATCTGCTCAAATCCTGCCGAAGCTTGCTGCGACCGCTGCTCGCTCGACTCGTCCGCATTCTGTAGCTCCTTCATCAGTTCGTCTATGTTTGGCCCCAGCAGTTTCCGCACCTCATCCGACGTCAGGGGCTGCCAGAGATCATGCCCCCGGAGTGGCTGTCAGCTTCTCCTGTCCCACTTCCTCTCTCACTTCCCTCTGTCCCACTCCGGTCAACTGTCCTAACTTGCCCTTCTCTGTCCACAAGCCAAGCCTTACTCTTGCAGCCCAGGCTGTGGAGGGTATGACCATTCCCAGACTCACTGCCCCCTGCCCACTCCTGCCTTACCCTACCCAGCCTATGTCCACACTGGACCCAGACCCTCACTCCCACCCCCACTTGTCTGCCTGTCCAGCTGTACCTTCACAGTCTCTGGCCGAAGTGCTTTGTATGTGGGCACATCTATGATCTCGTTCTTTTCGATGAATTCTCTCAGTATTTTAGTGGTGACACCCCCTGTGGAGCGGGGAGAAGGACCCTAAGGCTACGTGAGGCCACACTGACACCCTTGGGCCTTCTGTGAGCCCAGCACACTTCCTGCTGAGATTCCCTTGTCCAGGGAAGCCCTAGGAGTGGGACCAAGTGGCCCTCAGCAGCATTGAGCCCCACCACACGCACTTGGGGTGACAAACTAGGGTAGGGAGGGAGCCAGCTCACTCAGGTAAGGCCGGATTTTCCCAAAGTATCTGGCCCCTTTCAATTTCTTGAAGGCAATGCGGGCCTTGGAGAACAGAACCTCCATGTGTGATTGAGAACACTTCGCCAGGTCCTGAGGGTGGACTTCCCTGAGGGAACATGGGGCCGACAGTGAGTACGGGCCAGTCCCCCGACATGACCAGCAGAACCCCCCAGCACTCACTGGAGGACAGAGGGCTTCAGGTGTTGGAGTTGCCCAGGAGAGAAGACGCATAGATAGGCAGGGTTCAAGTTAGCTGCAAGGTCCAGGGTTTCCGGGTCGATCTTCTCCTTCGTAGCCACAAAATTCTTTATCAGGGCAGTCACCTGTGAGAAGAACCGATGAGACTCCTAGAAGCGGGAGGGATCCCCCCTGGGAGGGACCCCCCCATGCAACCTCACACCTGTGCCCAGGTAAAACCTCACACCTGTGCCCATGTACAACCTCACACATGTGCCCAGGTACAGGCTCACACCTGTGCCCAAGTACAAGCTCACACCTGGGCCCCCTTTCTGGTCTCAGACCTGTGATCCCCCTCCCACAGGCTTGGGTGAGTGGTCACCTGAGCATTTCTCGCTCTCTTGACTGAGAGTAGATGCTTCAGTGTCGCCAAAGACGTTATTTTCCATTTTCTGATGTCGTTAGGTGACATAAACACAAATAGGGTGCCCAGTTTCTGGATAATATTTTCAGGATAGCCTTTAGGATAAATCTGTAGAGGGGAGGGACTGTGAGAGCTGTGGCTTCCTCTCCAGGATGAAAGGAGAGGTGCTGGAGTCATGGTCTGGTGAGGGCCCTCATTCTCAGCTACCTTGTCTAGCTTGCGCTTGAAAATAGAAAGCTGCTCATTGGTGAAGGGGATCTTGTCCACAGCTCCTAGGTCCCTGGCCAGCAGGGTGCCATCCAAACAGGCCTCAAGGTGTGCATCCGAGTATAGGACAAGCTCTTCAGTCACTTTATGGACCTTCTTCCGAGTAGGGCATCCGTTCTCTGTAGAGGGATAGATGAACTGGGACTGCATCCCTTCCATACCAAGATCTGACCCTGCCCCTCCCTCAACCAGGGCAAGCTGCTCACTGTCCACTTTATCCACTTCTGGTGGTTGGTTCCGGCTGGGAAGTATCTTAACGTGCTCCAAAGATGAAGTCTTACTGAGTCTTCGTGGCTGCACCACCAAGACTCCCTGAAGACAGAGCAGGATAGGGCAGAGTCTTAACCGGGACTCTGCAGAAGAGGGGCCTATGCACAGACAGCAGCCCCTGCAGAGTTTCCTACTGAACCAAGTGCCCCTGAATCAAGCTGCTCCCCAGTCCCAGATATTCCCTAAATATCCAACTACCCTCTGGGCCAGTTACTCCCTGGCCAGTCATACTTCAGGTCCACTTACACCTTTGCAATAGGCATTTTTAAAATCTTGCTTGCAGCGTTGGGTATATACTCAGGTGTGGCTGCAAGTGTGTGTGTGTGTGTGTGTGTGTGTGTGTGTGTGTGTATGAAAGAGAGAGACAGAGACAGAGACACAGAGAGAACCCAGGCCAGCCTCACCCATCATGATGCAGGGTCAGAATCCCCTCCTACACTCATAAGATACCCTAACTCCTTGAGAGGACTCACTTGTGTCTCTGCAGCCAGGATACCGAAGAGCAGCATCCACCCTGCACAGGGAGGGGTGTGAGGCTGGGAGAGGGTCCAGGTCTTCTGACCCTGGAAGCTGGGAGACATATCCTGGCCCCAGTCTGGCCCCTAACCCCAGTCACATCTCCCAAGATGATGACTCGTCCCACGCACTGCCAAGGGCAGGAACCCATACCCCACTAGGGAACCCCTCCTTCGTAGCTTCCTTCAGGCACTCAGCTGCTCAGGGTAGTCTGATCCCCATAGGCACCTTGCTGTGGTCTGGTCCCTCACAGTCCCAGCCCAGCCTCCTACACTGAGGAGTGAGAGAGTGGAGTCCTGGCAGTCATCTCTGGGGACAGGGTGGAAGGAACCTCCAGAGTCCTGGGGGGACTCCAGTCCGTGTCCACCTCTGAGAGGAGGAGGCTGGGGGGGGTGCACAGCCTTTTCCCAAGCCCCTTCACCTTGCCTTGTAACTCACCAGCAGCTGGAGAATTGCCCCCCTACTCACCAAGGCTGCAGAAGGAGAAGAGGCCGTGCCGGCTGGAGTGTACGCACAACTCGCTCTGCGAGGCCATGACCTGTGGGAGACAATGACTGAGGTCTCTCTGGGTAGGACCAGATTCTCCCACCACTCACCTCGCAACTTGACCAGTCCCTGCTCAGTCAAGAGTCTTCTGAGGCTTCAGGGGCCCAAGCACGAACTTTTATCTGTGCAGCTGCCTGGCTGGTCCTGCCCCTCCAGGAAGTGACACCCCCCCACCTGGCTGTGAGTTCTGTGGGCAGGGGTGTGCCATCACCTGGGAGTGGGAGGTGGGCATTGAGAGCTGCTTCCTCCCCAAGGCTGGCCTGTTTCCCATTCCTGCCATCACGTGCTGGACAGCTAGGCGCTGTCTGCCCTCCTTCCATGCCAAATTCTGCTGTAGGTGTCCAAATCTGCATAGGCAGCACCTCAGGACTCCAATCTGCTTGGAGGGATGCTGTTCTGATATTCCCTTTGTGCGCCTCTCAGACAGATGGCCAAGGGAATGGAAATGGAAAAGGGTCCCCCTGCCCACCTCTAGCCCCTGAAGACACACGGGGTCATGAATTCCATTTCAAAGTAGACAAAGAGGGCCACTTCGGGTCTGTGTGCTTTCTCAGGGTAAGGTATGAGGCCTGCAGGTCAGGGAGTGAGGAGACCCTGGAGAGGATTGTCTCCAATTCTGAGACCTACAGGAGGCCCCTCTCCTTCCAGTCTTGGGGCTCCCTCCCTCCAAACTTTCACCCAAGCCTGGCCTGCCCCACTTAGGGATCGGAAATGAGGGGCTTTCATGCTTTAAAATGGAAGGTGAAGAACTTCTTGGGCCCAGTACCTGTAGGAGATTCTTGGGGAGCGACCACAGCCTCCAGATGTCACCCTGATGCCCCAGACCCTACTCAGGAAGGAGATGTGGGGTCCTCCTTTCTGGAGTCTGCAGATTTCAGGAGACAGAAGAAATCTCACCACGAGACAATGGAGCTCAAGCACAGTCAGGGACAGAAAGTGCATCCCACTGCCTCCTTCAGATCACAGGGGCCCTCAACGTGGCCCCGCACCCCACTACACCCAACTGCCTGTCTTCTGACACCCAGCACCAACCTCCAGGGACCCTCAAACTTCAAGGTGAGGACTCCCTGAAAACCTAAAATCACCCCTCCTGTGAAGCTGGTGCAGGTTTAGGCAGCCTGGGAATAGACATCACACACAATATATAACACACCAAACATGTGTGTGCACCACACACCACACCACATATATAACACACTGTATATGTGTGCACACCACACAACACACTGTATGTATAACACACCACATACGTAAGAGGGGTCTCTGGCGGCCAGTGGTAAGAAGTTGCACTGCAATCTCAAAGGCACACAGTTCAAATCCACCAGCTGCTCCACAGGAAATGGATGAGCAATCTCAATGACACAATTTACTGCCTCAAAAAACCCTTTGAAGGGTCAGCAATGCATCAGTTTGGCTATGCAACAGTGCACAATAACAGCAATGCAACACATGCATGATACACTATACACACCGAATCTGTAATAAAACATACACACCATGTACTTAACACACCCTATCAAACAATACAACACACACACCACAGAGGGAGCTCTGATGGACTACTGAGAAGGAGTTGCTTTGCCAACCATCAGTACATGGTTTGAATCCACCATTACTGTACAGGAGAAAGATGGGTCGTCTTTGAGAACCCCATGGAGGGTTAGCTATGAGTCGATTTTAACTCACTGACACTTAACAACCCTACACACTCGCACATATACATAGATACACCCCCCCCAGACATAACACACCATACACACTCACATATATAACATACTATACACACATATAATATACCACACACATATAATGTACCATACACATGCATATATAACACTCAGTGCACGTATGTATGCAATACACCATACACAAATTCACATATATACCTTAAATGTATTTTCAAATATATATTTGAAACACATAAGTATATAATACACTATACATTGTATTTTTATATATTATATAAATCAATAATATACAATAACAACAACATAACATATATATGATACACTATACACACCATATTAAATAATACAACATACATACCATATAGGGAGCTCTGATGGACTCTAATGTTGTTTATACAATATATTAACATACACACATGTATAACACAACATACACATGCATTACATAAACACACAACACACCATCCACGTGCACACACATATATAACACACTGTACGCGTGTATATATATATATATATATATATATATATATATATATATAAAATACACCCCACAGGCATGCACATTTTCAACGTACCACACACATATGCATGTATGCACATATACATGTGCAGCCCATACATGATGTATGAATACACATGTTGGTGTGTACCGTCAAGTCAGAACAGACACAGAGCTGACCTTCTAGTGGGTTTTCAGAGGCATTTTAATCACAGGGGAGGAGAGTGTCCATCTTTCTCCTGTGGAGCAACTGGAGGATTCAAACCATATGCCTTCAGGTTGACAATGCAGCTCTTTACCATACAGACATGCACATATACCACACACATACATAGTAAGATGTCTAATACAGCACAAACGCATACACCCACACACACATACACAGGCATATTCACATGTACCATACACACACCACACATGTCTTGTACACATAGGTATCTATGTCATGCAAATGCACACCTCACACACACATCCATATCCAGGAGGGCCGGGAACACCTAGGGTCCAGTGCCAAACGCAAGCACTCTCCGGCCTCTGGAGGACACACGTGAGGGCACACTACAAGAGAGGTGAGGACAGAAACTGAAAGATCTCTGCATGCTTCCTGGTCTCCCTTGTATCGTGCCAGGGATCTTGGTGGGGGCAGACACAAGAGAGGAGTCCTAGGTTTCTGAAGAGTGGTCTCTGGCCCTCTCCCCTCTAGGACCAGCTTCCTTTCGGCCACTCCTTGCTACTATACTCTGGGGGCTGTTCAGATGCTGGACATATTAAAAACCAGAAGGACTGAGACCTTGTCAAGGTCTATACTGGCCCTGCCCCTGTCCTCTTGTCGTTGCCCTTCCGCTAGGGTAGAATTTTTATTCCTCAGATGGAATCTGGGGTCTGAGTGGACCACAAGCTCCTCAATGTGGAATATGAGATGGAAGCAGCTGAGGGTCTTTCCCTGCCCATCCACCCCACCACCTGCAGAACCTCCCACTGCAGCCCAGATCGAGGTCCCTGTCTGTCAAGTGACAGCAAAGAAGTCAGACCACATTCTCTGTAAGCATCAGCCTGTCAATGCAGGGTGGGTGGGGATGGATTACGTGTTTGGGGATGGGTCTTCAACATAGGTCAGTCTGAGACATCAAGGCAGGCTTGGGGTCACACAGCATCTCAGTTGCAAGACAGGGTTAGAGTAGAGGTAGTACTAGGGCACCACCGTCTGAGATGAGAGAGATGGCCAGGGGGCATCAACAGTGGACAGGGCACCATCGTAGCCTGTGCAATCTGGAGCTGGCTCAGGCCTCTTCTGGGAGGGCACTTCCAGTACCAGCCACTGACTGATCCCTGCTCCCACTAGAACCAGCTTGGCCGAAGGGCTGCCTGTTCCCAGGCACACGCTCAAGCCTGACATTCTGGCCTACTGCCCCACACAGACCAAACCACTGTTGCCCCGGGAGCCTGGATATGAAACTTGGTGTCCAGAGCTGCTGCTCCTGGGGTAGACCCTTCAGTGTCCCCAGACCCCTACTCCGTGACACCTCTCACCTTCTGGGCTGACCCTCCAATCAGAGTCTCGGTGTCCACCACAGGGAAGCAGCCTGGTCAAGCAGCAGAAGGGTCTCAAAGGGAATAAACGGGCCTGTCTGGGAGCGGCGGCTGCTCACGCCACAGGAATGCATGGGTGGGACTCTGCCCAGAGAGTGGCTGGCATTGGGCCAGGCCTGGGCCAGCCCGGGAGGGGGCAGCAGGCATGCAGAGCTGCCTTGGACCTCCCAGTGGTGAATGTTTGGGTCCCTTCTTAGACATGGGCCAGGAGTCCTCCTGCAATCTTGGGGTGCTGTGTTTTTACCAAGTAGGCTCTGACCCTGCGACCCTCCTGGACAACAGGCTGAAAGTCCTCCCAGTCCACTACGCTCTTCATCACCTCTGCCATACTTGAGCCTGTTGGTGAAGCTTCCCTGTGTCAATCCAGCTCCTTGAGGCTCTTCCTCTCCTTGGCTGACCCGCAGCCTGACCAGGCATAATGTCCTATTTCAAGTGATTCCAGTGGATTTTCAGAGGCTGTGAGCCGCATGGGAGGGCATTGCCCATCTTTCATCCTCAGAGGAGCTGATGGACTTGAACAGCCGGAGAGGTACCCCCTTTGGGTTATACCCCAACTCCCTAAGGAGCCCATAATGTACTCAACACCTCCTCACCAGCGCCACAGTCCAAAGGCATCCATTCTTAGACTTGATCTTCCTTAGTCATTGTCCAAATTACTGAGGCTTAGTGAATACAGTGGTCCATCCAGCAGGGAGCTAGCACTGTCACCTGGCCCTAGAACTTTCAGAAGGACCAAACCAGAAACTCTCTGCCATTGAATCAATTTCAACTCGTGGTGGCCCTCTATGGAGGTTCCAAGGCTGAAATATTCTCATGAGGAAACTACTCAGCTTTCTTCTATGGAGCCACTGATGGATTTGAACTGCCAAACTCTTGCTTATCGGCCCAACATGGAACACCATCAGGGCTCCTATAAGATTAGGACTTGCTCTGCCCTGATGGGACTTAGTAGTTCATTCAATAGACAAACATCTGCAGAGGCCCTACTTCCAAAAAAGTCCCATCTACAAACATCAATTTAGGACTTGAAGGTAGCTTTTTGAGGGGGCACAGTCATTTCCCCCCCCCCCCGCAGTGTGTCCACTCCAGTGAGCACATGCCATTGTCTGTTCAGGCAAGGGTCACTGCTAGGTGCCTTCGAGTTTGCTCTCATCCATGGTGACCCACGTCATCCTTATAATACTGTCCGCTGCATCCAGGCCCATTGTTGCA